TATGCTATCTTGATACTTAAATAATTAGCATAAGGTATCACTTTAACTTCAAATTAACATATATGTGTATATATATGTGTATATATATATATATACATACATATATATGTCAAAATCACTTTAAATTATTTGTGAAATGGAGTAAAATATAAATATTGACACATGAAGTAAATGTTCTTATTAAGGCCTTCCTACATGTCAGCCTGTGTGTTGTATGTACTGGACATATTATGTAGGCTATCTCATTTAACTCCACCAAACAGTGTTTCATTGCTCCAAAATATATGCCTGGTGGGCCAAGCCCCTGAACACAAATTAGCTTTTATAGGATTATACTTTCTTAAACATGAGGAAGCCTGGAGAAATCAATTGTTAACTGTGGGCCAACCCAACAAGAGCTGTAATCAGAGTACCGCGGTTGCAGTCCCAGCTCCAGCACTTACTATCCATCTGACATCGGACAACTGTCTTATTCTCTTTCACCTTCATTTTCTTTCTTTACTAACTAGGTGATAATTTCCCCATCACAGGGTTGGCTTAAGACACTCGTGGCAGCAAAAAAGTGCTCAGCAAATTATAATCACTATTTTGCGTGGCAAAATTTAACAAAGACTAAATCAAAAAGTCAGAACAAAAGAAAAAGTAGCCAATGCATCAAGCTGAAACCATGATGTTCTGAAACAATAACATTTTTCACTGATGCTTAATTTTCCTGTTTATTAATTTGCACTACTTGAATTAGTCACTCACCAGAATGCTGAATCTTGTAGACCCATCATTTTCATTAAATCCTTACACTTTTTTCTCTCTTTTGTAACATTGAGTGATACAAAATATATAAGTGGGGAAAAATAAAGTGAGCAGTATAAAATAAACATCTCATTTTGAAGACCATCTTTAGAAATAAAAGGTAATGTCTTCATATTTGTAGCAGTAACTGACATCAAGTCCTCCATCACAGAGTGATTTGTTGTGATCTAAAGAAGAATTTAAACAAATATCATCATTATTTAAAGGATAGAAACTGGTGAAATCTGAATAAGCTGTGTTGATTGTATGAATGTCAATTTTCTGGTTTTGTTATTATACTACAGTTACAGAGATGTTACCCCTGGGGGAAACGGTATGAAAAATACCTGGACCTCCCTGTATATTGTTTTTGCAGCTTCCTGTGCTTCTATAACTACTTCAGAATTGGTTTAAAGTTTAAACTAATGTTTAAACTTTATTTTTAATGTTTAAAAATAAATAAGCAATGCATTCCTTTGTCTGGATACTTGCTTCATTATATAACCATAAGAAAACCTGAGTATCTATCATTTCTATGGTTTGAATATGTCCTCTCCAAACTTCATATTGAAACTTAATCCCTGTTGTGGTATTAGGAGGTGGGGCCTTCTGGGAAGTGGTTAAGTATGACAGTGGAGCCCTCATGCATGGATTAGTGCCTTATAGCAGGGCTGGAGGGAACTAGCTGACGACCTTTTTGCCCTTCTGTTGGTCCACCATGTGAGGACACCTAGATAGTGCCATCTATGAGGAATGGGCCTTCACCAGACTCTGAACCTGCCAACACCTTGCTCTTATACTTCTCAGCCTCTAGAACTGTGAGAAACAAAATTTCTCTTCTTTATGCATTACCCAGTCTCAGATATTTTGTTATCGCAGCACAAACAGACTAAGATAATTATCTTTCATCAAAATCTTGATGTCTCTGTAATTAGTTTACATTAATTATTAGAACTTTTCAATTAAGCACTTACTTCTATAATAGCAGCATTAATGGCAGTTTGTAAAGTAACAAATCCTCTATCCCAGTATGAGGTTAATAAACAGTGAAACTCTTCATATTCCTCCCAGCAATGAGCTGTAAGCACAAAGAAAAGCACAACCAATATTATGGGATGAGGGTAGTTGGAGAATATGAAACAAGAATCCAGGAGGAAAAAATCTAGAGGAGATTCCACCAGTCAGAACTTTTTTTTTTTGAGACAGAGTCTCACTCTTTTGCCCGGGCTAGAGTGAGTGCCATGGCGTCATCCTAGCTCACAGAAACCTCAAACTCCTGGGCTCAAGCGATCCTCCTGCCTCAGCCTCCCAAGTAGCTGGGACTACAGGCATGCACCACCATGCCCGGCTAATTTTTAGTTGTCCGATTAATTTCTTTCTATTTTTAGTAGAGACGGGGTCTCGCTCTTGCTCAGGCTGGTTTCGAACTCCTGAGCTCAAACAATCCACCCGCCTCGGCCTCCCAGAGTGGTAGGATTACAGGAGTGAGCCACCGCGCCCGGCCCAGAACTTTCAACTATATAGAAAAGCAAGCAAATAAATGAAAGTTCTTAATGCAATTTTACTTATGCAGACCACAGCATGCTTAGAAAGTCTTAGAAAATAAAAAGATGAAAGCAAACACTCTGCTCCAGCCATACTGGACTCCTTGCAGCACCTCAAAATGCCAAATACATCTCAGCACTAGAACTTTTCTTGAACTTGAATGCTCTCCCTCTAGATGGATACATGGCTTATTCTTTCCCTTTATTTTGATCACCTCTCACAAGTAACTTCATCACAAAGGACTTTCCTGAATACCATGAATAAAATATCTAAAATAGTTCTTTTAGTCTCTGTCTTCTAACTCTGCTATATTTGACTGTGTCGAGTATATTGTTTTCCCCCATCCCCTGTCCCTGACCAGAATGATTCCTGTAAGCAGGCTCTGTGTTTTGTTCACTTCAATCCCCAGGACCAAGAACAGTGCAAAGAACATAGTAGGCAGTTAGTGAACAAAAGAACTAATCTTTATTAGTCACATCAATTCTACTTCCTAAAGTGGCCTCTAATCCATTGCCATTGACCTCTCTCCCAGTCAGCTGCCTCCACTATGGTCTAAGGTTTCATTACATTCTCCACAACCCCTTTGCAATCCATTTTCTGGGCTGTATCTGGAGTGTTCCCTTAAACTTGGAAACCTAATCACATCTTTGTCCTGATTAAAGCACCTCAATGGCTATTCATTGCCTAGGTTCCCAAGATGCCACAGCCAGGGCTGGGGAACCTGCAGCCTCAAGGCCACATGTGGCCCTCCAGATCCCTAAGTGCAGCCCTCGACCAAATCCAAACTTCACAGAACAAATCCCTTTATTAAATGTGCTTTCTCTATTTTCTCATGTGCCATTGAAAGTATCTTTGTTGCCCATCCCCACCTGTTCTTTATGCTGAAAACATGAAAAATGCCATAATGATATTTTATATCAAAAGTCACCTGAGAGATCTTCATCTGACAAAACTGGAATGTCATATCCCTGAACAAATTTTAACTTATAAGAGAAAGCATCATTAAAGATGATTCCCACAGCATGTGGTGCATTTTCTGCGAGTATTTTATCCATATGTTTTTCATTTGGTACCCCAATGACTCTTTCTCCTGTGAATTACAAGGTAAAAAATAGACATAGAAAATTGTTACAGAGTTTCGCCAAAATAAAATGTGACATACAACTGTACCACCATATATTTTTCATTAGACTTAAACTAAAATCATTTTCCATTTAAATCAAACTTGAATTAAAAGGCAAGGAGGGAAATTTTATTTTAATGCTTTAGATTCTAGAATTAGAAGACATGCATAAGAATTAAGTGTTTTCTTTTCATAATGACAGGTACCAGGGCAAGTTTTAGGTACATAAAACACATTATACCAGGATAAGTATGCATAAGAGAATTGGGGTAAAAAAAAGAGTAATCGTTGTAGTTACTATTATACAGTTGGGGATTCCATATTTCAGATTTACTAAAGCAAACAACTTATATGACCTTTGTCTTACACAGGAAACAAGAAAACAAAGTGAATCTATTTCCAACAGCCAGAAATGGCACTTGTTAGTAGTGGAGAATTAAAGAGTAAGTAGCCAAACTACACCCAATTTGCCCATGAATGAAACACGCATTTTGTTTATCTCCATTACATAATGACATCATTTGGAATGAAGATTTTTAAAGATATTTACAAATTATACAGCATGAACAACAGAATAATCTTCAGATTATCCATCCTTATTTTTCAGTTGTGAATTATTATTCAATAACCATGAACTAATGTCTCCTACTTAGATATTTTCCCCTGAGCTATATATCTTAATCATGGTATTTCCATGTTAAAAACACACACACTCACCAATGGTTATATTCCTCCTAGACACTATTCTGCAAATCTGACATTATAAATCTGTTTAGTTATATTCTGATAGAAATGTGGACCTCCCTAAACTGGACCTCTATCAAGCTGAAAAAATTTCAAAGGCTAATTGCTGTGAGAGAAAGAAAAAACAACAACCAAATTTGTATGCTATCTTGATACTTAAATAATTAGCATAAGGTATCACTTTAACTTCAAATTAACATATATGTGTATATATATGTGTATATATATATATATATATATATATATATACACCTTATCAAAAGAATACAAACCAATATCAGTAATTCTTTTTTTGTCATGAATACACCTACCTTTCAAAAGCGGAGCAAATGCTGTTTTATTCATTATCTGCTGGGTTACATTAGAGATTGGTGTATACACAACCATTCTAAAAGATCTATTAAATTGATCTACCCTTCCCAGATCATGAGGAGGAGTTTCGGGAAAGTGGACACTTCTTAAAAAATTTGAAAACAGACCCAGACACAGTCCTAGAAGTATTGAGAGGCCCCATTCCTATAACACACAAAAAAAGAAAAAGAGAAAGAAAAAATGTAGGTCGTGTTCACTTAAAGAGCTCAGTCAATATAAAAGAACTATTGAAAACAAATTTCAATTTTTCCATAAAGTGGGCTTCTCTCTGCTCTTTACTCCTCAGAGCAAGGAGAACCCAATGAAAGATAAATACTGAGACCATAGCCACATTTATCATTTTCCAATACTGGAACAAAACTTTTGCATTAAATCATGAACTGCTGCAAAAGCCATCATAGAAACTAACAGGATGACTAACAAAAAGGATGACAATCTCTACATACACTGGCAGCTGACTCTAGGGTTTCTAAAACACAGAGAATCCCGGATAGAGCTCATGGTGGCAAATAGCAATATTTTTGTCAGCTGGGTTGGGTGGGTGAAGGAATCTTCTCCACACAGTCTTTCAGGGACCCAGTCGCCTTCATCTAGGGACTCTGCATATCTTTGCATTAGAAACTAAAGAAAATGAAAAGTAACTGAATGGTAGAGACTACTACTATCACTGTTCAACAACAGCAATCATCTCATCCTCTTTGGCACAATGTAGACTACATTCCCAGCCTCCTGAAATTAAGTGGGACCAAGTGGTTGAGTTCTGGCCAGTGAGATGTGGGCAGGAGTAATAGGAGTAATATGCACCACTTGCAGGCCTGGCTCACGGACTCTTGTACATCTTTCTATATTCTCTCTGTCTCAGTCCCTCTCTTTCCTGATCTTCTGACTGGATGCAGAGGATCCAGTAGAGGTCTCCAGCTAGGGAAATGGCAGAATCCCTAGATGAAGACAACTGGGTCCCTGAATGACTGTGTGGAGAAGATTCCTTCACCCAACCAACCCAATTCACTTCCACTGTTGACCTTTAGACTGTGAAGAGTGAAAAATAAACTTTTGCTATGTTAAGCCACTGAAATTTGGGCTAGTCACTTAGAGTTAGCCCATCTGCCTAAGGCAAACTGATTATCAGCAGTTTTACTTGGTCATAATTCTTGGAAATAATCTTTGTGTAGAAAATTCATGGCTTTGAAAATAAATCCACAAAATTAAAATTTCTCAATATCTTCTAGGAGACATTTTTCTTACTTTTTGGCTTTACATGTATAATATTTGGTAGCAGCTTTAACAGTTGCTATAATTTACCATGTAATTAAATTTTCACTTAATCTCTATTTTTTAATATAAGTAATACTTCTTTATAATTTTATGTTATTCTTCAGGGACTGTTGTGACTCTCTCAACTCAACAAATACAACTAGAAACAACCATAAAATCAATACATCCAGTCTGCTTATTAAAATATAACTTAAGAGAACCATTAGACAATGAAATTCTATAAGAGTGCTAATTGTGGAAAAAGGCAAACTTTTGAACATACCAATGAGCTCTCTCTTTTCATTCTCCATTTCTTAAGAAAATTCTTGCACAAAAGTGCTCGAGTTTGCTGATACACACTTTTCTGTTTCATACTCATTTAGCCTGTTCATTAAATGAACAAGGAAAAAGTAAACATGGCGGAACACACAGTAGAAAAAATAAATGTAATAAAAAAAAAACCTTGATCATATTTTTAAGCAAAATATTTACCACCCTTCAGAACTATAAAAAATGGACTTAAAATATTATTTCAATAATTCATGACTATAAAACGTCATCTCAAATATATTCACGTTAAGCTATTTGGGGGAGTAGGTAACGGTGGGAAGGTACAGTGATTATTATCTCAATTTTACACTCACTTAGAGTACTACAATGAGAAAGCTATAATTAGAGTTTAGAACCTACAAGATAATGTCACCTTTTCGGCCTTTTAAAACAGAACTTCCAAGTATATAAATACAGTAATTAAATTCATTTCATTCTGTTAATAGTCATTTCCTGTTCTTTACATTTAAATAAAAATCCCAGAGCTAATCAAATTAACATCAAAATTCTAATAACTTAGATTCATCTGAAAAATAAATTATTTTCATTAGATACAGCCTCAGCGAAATATTTTCTTATAGTTCTTACCTTCAGATTGAAATGAACAACTTTTATCAAAAGAGGCTGTGGAAGAATAATCCAGGCTCAAACTACTTGAAACTTGATTCTAAGACACAAGAAGAATAAAGCAATTTCTCTCAATTTTCTGAGGCTCCTAAATAGCAGGAAACAAACTACAAAACTAGTTTTAAAAGAAGAAAAAAGAAATCACATGGGAAAGTAATTTTGCCAAAATGTGTGCAAATAAAGAAACAAACTTTTTTCATATTTGTAATCTCAAAATTAAATTTTTTTAGATTTGCATATCAAATCTGAAAGAATTCCTCAGCAAATAAAGAAGTATATTTTTCTGTTGTCCTATATTCTACTGTTACAATCTATGCAATAAAAATTGTTTGGAAAAAATAGAAAATTTTTATCATTAGGCCTTTAACACAAAACACACAGGAATTTGGAAACAGCTGATAACTAGATTGATTTTAGCAGTGTCCACACACATATTTGGCACAGCACAACAAAATAGAGCTTTACTTACTGTCAGAAAAATTAGAAAAAGTACGCTAGAAACACTTCAAACCCCAGTTCTCTTTCTGTCTAAGGCAACAATTAAAACTTCTTTATTGCTACTTCTTCATTTATTCTTTAAATGGGTGCCTACTCCCAGCAGCTCTTACTCAGGCTGGTTTCTGAAAAGGGTGTAGTCAGTCCAAACTGCACATGATGAACTTGTTTTGTTTTCTGTGTCTTTTTTCCTAAGCCAATTATTCATCAGGGAAATGACTGATTTGTGGTTGGTTGGGAAGAAGACAAACTCTGTGTTTGTTCACTTGGCCTTTCAACTACAGGGATAAGGGAGAAAATGGTAAACAAGGAAAACGCAACTAGTCCATCAGAATTGATGAGACCAGAATGGGGGAAGGAACAAGAAAAGAGCAAAAACAATAACTAACCAAGTAAAGCAGTTAAATTTGTATGTGAATCTTTCCCCCCCCCACTACTGGTGACCAAACACACCTGCCAATTATATAATTGACTAATTCAGATTACGTGGGCAGAACATTCTGGAGCTGGTTTTTTTTTTTTTGACCTTATAAAGCTAGGCAATCCATAGTCTGCCTTAGAGAAACTCCTAGGATGAACAAATGAAGAATCATGAACACATTTTTATTTTTTGTCCCACTCTGTTCACGGTGGATGCTGGATTTCATGAGACATATGAACAAAATAAAATTAAGTAGACTGCCAAAGACTACAAAACACATAAAAAGATTCAGGTGAATTTTTGTGCTCAAAGGCTAGGAAAAACTGAAATGTATTCAGTTCTCATTGCATAGTCTATCTCTCCCTGTAAAAAGTTGCAAACTTTTCTTGACCTGCCACAGTAAATGGCAAAACAGGAAACCAAAGTCCATGAATTGGGAAATCTCAAATATTTGACATGGCTCCCAATCCACAGATGTTAATAATCATAAAGCTGAGAGATGTTCTGGAGTAAAGGAGATAATTTAAACAACAACAACAAAAACAGTTAAAGCCATGATACTATTAGATACATATATTTCTCTCCTTAGCAATTAGCTCTATTTTTAAAAATAGTCAACAGTGAAATATTGCATGTCTTTTTACATTGAAAATTGTCATTAACAAAGTTAATAAAGGTGTTCTTTTAAAAAGCTCATGAGGTGGGGGAACGTCATAAACACTGTTAACATTTTGTATCAATAATACAACAAAAATTCAAAGTTTCTTTTAAATTATCTGGAATATGGTTAATGTTTTTATTAATTTTGTTGCTGTTATAGCTGTTTTATACCCTTTATACTCTACCTTAAGGAATCATTTTTCACTCAGCCTTTCTTATAATTGTATTAAAATTCACAGTTACAATATCAATAATTATGTAGATTAAATAAATATATTTTACTAGTTTCATTTCTTACCATTGCTTCTCATGTATGTTTTCTCTTCCTTTTTCTTACTTTTTTATTCAAATTTATTTTCATTTATGGGAGGCCATTTTCCTTATTTAAATGTGAAGATTTCCCCTAAAATGGTGACCTAATATGATGAAGAAGTACTCAATCTCTAGCTAGAAGGACATTGAAATGTGGATAAAATATATCCCAATATAGAAGTTCCTATATAAAACCAAACTTTAAAAAGGAAGAAGAAAAGATGAAAGTAATAAACAATGGAGGAAGCAAAGAAAAACTGGAAGGCATATCCCCAGGTGTTAAAAATGAAAAGGGAAATTAAGGTTTCTCTTAAGCTGCGAGTGGCATTTCAGACTCCCCAGCAGTCCAAGGATATATTGGACTGAGAACAAGGCCTTAGGTGTTTTAATGCTTCTGTGACCTGGTGGTGGCCCTTGACAGGTTGGGAAGCTGGAATTCATATCCCTGCGTGAATCCAGAAGCTTCACAAGACTATCTAATGCTAAAAATAGACTAGAAAAATCTCACCTAATACCTCAGAGAAGAGTAAAGACATGCATTCTCTTCCCAATCACTGGAACACACTATATCTTCCATAGAAAATTAAACCCCCAACGATACATAGCATACGTGAGATACAGGAGACAGGAGAGAGATCTGAATTTATTCTCTCTGCTTAATAACATGTCCAGGAAAAATATCTTACTTAGCAGTTAGTGCATGCACTCTAGAGCCAAACTTGGCTTCAGATTCTGGCTCTGCTGTGTACAAGCTGTGTGACCTTGCACAATTCATTTAACCCTTTCCCCCTCAGTTTTTTCATTCATAAAAGTAGGGAAATAACAGTGTTGACAAGGTTATTGTAGGGATTACATTCATTCATATAAGTACATAGAACAATGCCTGAAAAATCGTAAAAGCTCAAAAACTGTTACTTGTTGCTACTGATACTTTCACTCCTCCT